TATATGTAAGTAGATATATAAGTAAAGTGATATATAAGTAATATATAAGTAAATAGAACTCATAAAATAAGTTCAAAATGTAGAGAAAACAAGGGAAAAATTACCGAATAATGAAAAAAAGGGGAAAAAAAGAAAAATAATAATAAAAAAAAAATTTCCCGTTCATGTAAGTTCATTTGAATTCGCTACTCGCTTTATAGATTTCATTTCATATTTTATTCCGTTTTTTCTTTACATTTTATATTCTGCTTTTACGTGATATTTTTACTTATTGCGTTCTATTTTATCTGTTGTAATTTTTTTGTAATTTTTTTTAGTGCTTCTTACACTATTGTATTGATATATTTTGCTTTGGCTATATTGATGCAATATTAGAAAGCACTCTTTTTTGCAGATATAATCGCGTGAGCTGATGAAAATATCATATCTTCTAATATCTGGATTTTTTTAAATTTTTTGTCCGTCTTTTTCCGGTTTTTTGTTATTTTTATTTTTAATCTTCTTCTTCTTTTTTTCCCCTTTTTTCACTGTTCTGTAATTTTTCCCTTGTTTTCTCTACATTTTGAACTCATATATACATATACATGTATTTTTTTATTATTTTTTCCTTTGAGAATTTTTAGGGATGCGTCAGGTTGAAAAGTAAGAAAAAAAAATTCCATCAATAACGCTTTTGTAATTTGAGGAAACAAAATAATATTACATAGAAGATCGAATCCTGCTCTTTAGAATTTGGTGGTGAAAAGAAAAACTGACAGTTCAGAGTTTCAGACAAAAACACGAGCATGCCACTGCCTCAATGAATATGTGAATAAAGTAGAAATTCCGGAGCATTAGTCACTTTTAACATTTAAAGTATACTTACCAATTTCTTTAATTTTTGTTACAAGATAAGCTTATTACAATTTTTTTTAAAAAGTGAATTAGAAATTAAAAGTATTTATTTACCAAGCTTTAGCTTCTTTATAAAAATGCAATCGATCTGCTACTTATATGCGAAAGGATCTCCTGAAGATATATGACAATTTGAAAATTTGTTTAAAATACTGATTGAAATAGATATGTACGTTTTGTTTAAATCCTCAGAATTACTCTCTTGTTGTTTCAAATTTAGCACTGCAAACTGATAAAATATTCTAAAGAATTTATAAAAAAACATAATTTGTATGGTACAGTCTGAGGACAAAATAAACAGACTCCCTAACATTTATATAATGCTTGATAGTTTTTTCCTACCAGCAGCGCCATCTTGATGAACTTTGTAACGTATCTAAAAAATCGAGAAACTAAATTTTATATTTCGAAATAGAGGGCTGGAAGTCGTACTTTTCATAGCTTAGGTCATTTTGTGGACAGCCGATATCTGCCTTAAGCACGCTAAATACGATCAAACAACTATATAACGCTTGATAGTTTTCGGCCAGCAGCGCCATCAATTGACGAACTTTATAACTAATCTAAAACTTCGTGAAACTAAAGTTTACTTTTTGAAGTACAGAGCAGGAAGTCGTATTTTTTACAGCGTATGCCATTTTGGGGACAGCTGATATCTGCTTACTTGCATGCTTACTAAATAATTTTTCTCCCCTCCTTGATTCACTTTAAATGTATAAACCGATTTAGTATGAATATTGGTTAGCGAATCATCTGAGCTCATTTCTGTAAAAAAAATATTTTGTCTATTCTTCTATGGTATGCAGGTGTATTAAAATTCATTTTTCTTTCAAAATATTTTCTTACTTCGATAGTGGTCATAGTTCAAAAATATTTCATCTTCAGCTGCTGTGCACAGTTCTCTCAGACCATAATCAGTTATCTGCAAAACCCACCTACTGGTCACTACACAATTGCTTGATTTTAAATTTCCATGAACTTTCAGGTCAGAGTCATGAAGAAATATCATACCCTAAATAAATAAATAAATATTCGTAATTAAATTTGAATTTTCTATTAAATACTAATTCATTTTTGTTGCTATTAACAAATACAAATCTGTCTTAATTAACAACGTCTTCGTAAAAACATATAATTATTTTGTTAAGTAGATCTCTTTTAATAAACTCACAAATAAAAGTAAAGACTTCGTAAATTCTAAGAAAATTAGTCGTTGCAATAGTTCTTTTTTTGAGCAATTCACGGAAAAAAGACATAAGTGTGAAAGTAAATTGATTCTTAGAAATATTAAAAGTTAAAATAATAAATACATTTATGTAATAATACTTTTTTTACAAAATCATCATACGTAAATTAAATCTTCTCTAACAGTTTAAGAAATGAATGACGAAAACAATTAAACTTTTACTAAATATATATGTGACCGGCAAAATATGAAATGCCGGCATTGTATATAATGCCTGACGCTTTTAGGCACAGTATGAAATATGAGAAGTTTTACCTACTTTGCCTAGGCATTATATATATTGCCGGATGCTATTTAGGCAAAGTATGAAATAAACGTACTGATGAGGTTATTATGTAAATGATGTGCATGTTACTGTGAATGAATGACCGAAATCGGTGGCTGTTGACTTTCACCGGAGAATGCTGCCTCGCTTTGGTGAATGTCCGAAATATTTATTACATCCGATTTGATATTAATTTATTCGTGGATATAATTACATTTATTCGATATTTTAATACTTGCTGACTATAGATTAGAAAAAACATCAGTGTAGGGTATACCGGGAAAATGTATATCGGGCGACGGTTTTTTTTGCCCGGTATACATTTGCCCGGTATACCCTACACTGATGGTTTTTTAAGGTCAAGGGCCACTGCCCGGTATACATTTGCCCAGTATACCCTACGCTGATGTTTTTTTAAGGTCAAATATCATTTCCCGGTATACNGTCGCTTTGGTGAATGTCCGAAATATTTATTACATCCGATTTGATATTAATTTATTCGTGAATATAATTACATTTATTCGATATTTTAATACTTACTGACGATAGATTAATAGAAACATCAGTGTTTGGAGTATCGGGCAAATGTATACCGGGCAGTGGTCTTTGACCTTAAAAAAATTTTTTTAAGGTCAAGGGCCACTACCCGGTATACATTTGCCCGGTATACCCATACACTGATGTTTTTTTAAGGTTCAGTTCCACTGCCCGGTTTACCCTACACTGATATTTTTTTAAGGTCAAGTATCATTGTCAGGTATATATTTGCCCGATACTCCATACACTGACGTTTCTTCTAATCTATCGTCAGTAAGTATTAAAATATCGAATAAATGTAATTATATCCACGAATAAATTAATATAAAATCGGATGTAATAAATAATTCAGACATTCACCAAAGCGACTATGTGATTGTCAACATTCACCGGTGAAAGTCAACAACTACTGATTTCGGTCATTCACAGTAACATGCACATTATTTACATAATAACCTCATCAGGACGTTTATTTCATGCTTTGCCTAAATAACATCTGGCATTATATATAATGCCTAGGCAATGTGTGAAATATAAATCATTTCATACTTTGCCGGCTAGTTTTAGGCATTATATATAATGCCGTATTTCATACTTTGCCGGTAACATATACTCGTATATCCTATAAATAATCTCATATAAGGAAATTATTATGGATGCCATAATACTTTTTCAATAATAAAGACAGTTAAGTATGCGTTACAAACTTCAATATTTGTTCTTTATCACTGCAACATTTAGCTAAAAACTAGGTAGGAGTGATTAAAACAATGGGAAATTGCTCTTAAAACCAAGAACAGCTTTTGCAACCTTTAAAAAGCATTTTTCCATTCTTCTTTTTTATGCTGAATCAAATTAAACCAATCTTAATATGGCAAGATTACGTTAAAAGTTTAAAGGAATTTGTATTAAAAAGGTACAAATTTTTACTTATGACTGTTTACTTTACTAATATAATATATTTACTTAACTAAGGCAATAGTGTTTTTATGCGAGTCATTAATATATATACTCAATTCGCATTTTTATTTTTTTTATTCTTAGAGAATTTTTTTAACAATTAAACTAGTATATCTATTTTTTAAGGCATTTTTATTTTTTTATTCTTAGAGAATTTTTTTAACAGTTAAACTAGTATATCTATTTTTTAAGGCATTTTTATTTTTTATTCCTTATGAGTAAGTTTGTTTTCTGTTTTTGTTTCGTTCAGCTCCAACTCATATTTTCAAATGTATTTTCATTTTTTAACGATATCGATACATTATAAAGAATAATGTTTATCTTAGGATAATTATTCTTTGTATCGAAATATCACAACATAAAGAAATATGTCCTGAAGAGAATCTTTGCGTCTTCACATTTCACATTAAAATTTTTTTGTTTCATTTTTCTTTCTAATTCTATTTTATATATATCTATATCTATATCTATCTATCAATCTATCTATCTATCTGTATAACACAAAACCTCATGAATTTTAAAATATATTTTTCATGCGTGAAATTAATAATCTTATAATGATATCGAGATTATTGGTTATACAATTTTAGGTATGATCATAATCTCTTCTATATAAAATTATAAAAATATTCGGAATGCATACATTATTTAACTAGATAGCGGTGTTTTAATTTCTCCAGCTTTTGACGCCTTCCATCTCAAAAAAATCGCGATGACGTCTAAACCTCATTTCAGATATTAAATCAAAACTTTCAAGTTGATTTTCAGCTGTTCGTAATTATTTTCATACTAACCTTTACTTATTTTAACCTATATTTATGTGATTATTTACTTTCTTTTCTCTTTCTTTTCTTTACTTTCTTTCGCCCGTTTCTTTTTTTTTCTTCTGATTTTCGCATCAGACATACTTTAACCAACACTGGATTAGTTAATTTAGATTACGTTTCCCTGATTATGTTTGACAGAGTAGTGTAACATATTCCACATTCTGCCACAACTTTACACTGTAAAAAATTCCGAATAAAATTACGTTATAATGCACCGGCACTTTGGGTGCAGGATCCTAAGAATCCTCCTTACCGTAAAATCCATTTTTGCAGTAAATTTTTGCCAATTTCACAGTAATAGTTATTTAATTTGAGTGATTCAAGGATTTTGCAATAAATATTAGCATATAAATTATGATATATCAGACTTTCATGTTCTGTAACATGCTTCCTATAAAAAATGGCCTTTACGGAAAAAAGCCGTAATTTGATCCGAAATTATTTACAGTGTTCATTCACTTTAATCCCCCCCTCCACCACGATGTAAACAAAACCATTACAAATTTTGATAAAAATAAGCGATTATGAGTAGAAAATTTATTTTTCAATAAACAGTAATAAAATAAATTCATTTTTAAAATGAATTTATTTGATAGAAGCAGAAGTTTTGTTCAAAAATGTTTGGCTAGTATATACGTTTCTAAAAGAGGAATATGTTTTGCAATGAATCAAGCATGAATAGTTCATTTTATTCCTTCGTTGCATTTGCATATATTCAGAAGAGAATCATAACAGAATCATTATATTTCAATTTAATTATTATTCGAATAAAAGTATATTACCTTTATTAAATCAAATACTAAGGAAGCTATGAACATATGGTCCAATTTAATGTCAGGATTTTCAAGTATGTCCTGAAATAGGTAAATAGAATATAAATCCTTAAGCAAATATCTCATTTTTTTTTACATTAAGCTATCAATTTTTAATTGAGATTAATACGTTCCATTGTTTAAGACGATATCCTAATTTGATATTATTGATTTTAGTGAAAACACTCCCTAAAAACTTTTTATAATTTGAATAGTACTAAGAAAATATGTTATTTGATACTTTACACTGTTAGAAATTTTTCGAAAAAAGTTTTTAAAAAACAATTTATCTAATTGCTATTTTACCATATTCAAATAAAACAGTAAAATAACCATAAATAAGATGATATTCAAAAAGTTAACTGTGAGAAAAACCTTATATTAAATGCTTTCGGATAATACGGTTAAACAACCAGAATTTCATCGCACTAAACCCACCTAATGAAGCCACTTAGTTCCTTGCAGCTAGGTACATATTAAAGCTGAGAGGTCTAATCTGTCAATCTCATGATTAACAGTGCGGGATTCGAGTCTCAGTGTTGACACTACAATCTTTCTCCTAGTCCCTTCAGCTCATGAAGAGTTTCCAGTATCCTGTACTCCCCAGTTTGTGACCCTGGGCTATTAGAATGCAATACTCTCATTCCCGTATAGACGAGAGCACCATAAAGCTGCTAAACTATCTCCTGTCCTGTTAAATTTCTTTTTTACGGTTTTGAAACCATGCTAGTTTTAAATGGTTGAAAAACGGTAAAGGTTTTTCTTTGAGTTTTTGGAAAACTAAGGATACTTATCAAAAATGTTCACGTACATAGAAATTTGAGCTCTGAAGTTTAAATACAGTATTATTTACATATTTTTTTTTTTACATTATATAATATTTTAGCAATTTGTTTTATGTATAACTTAAACTAATTAAAAGTAAAATTTTATACTTTTCTAACTTTGAGTATCTATTCAATAACTTATTCAAAGATGTAACTTTATGCTAAAAATAAAAAAAATTGACTTTATAGCTGTTTCAAACTGACGAATTAGAGATATATCATTGATGTTAACCAATTCTTGAAATGTCAATTAAATTTACTATTAATCAACTAATTAGTGAAACCGAGTGTCAATTAATTGAATAATAACGAATATCTCTCTTGAGATGACAGCATTTTTATATATCGTATATGTCTCTTCATATTTATCATTGGCACTCTCATCCAATTCAAGTAAAATTATTTTTCCGTAAGAAATTTCATAAGAATAAATATTTTTAAATAATATTTTTTTTTAGTTTTAAACAATATTTCAGAAAGAAAAATTTCTATGGCAAGTTTTTTTCATAGGCTTAAAACATAGTTTGACTTAAATTAAAAGAATGAAGAGTTTATTGAACATTACTAATGAAATTAAGTTTTAACCCTCGAAAGCTGAGGTATTTTTTTGAGTAAATATTGGTTTTCTTCAAATGATAATGTACTAATTTTATGTCAATAAAATTATTACAAAAAGAAAAATAATTAACATGAAAATTAAAAATTGTGTTCAGTTGTTAAGAGAAAAACTTACCTTTAGACTACCTTTTGCACAATATTCTGTAACTAGAATTATGTAGTGTGGCAAAACACAGGCGCCAATAAAAGGGTTAATATTATCATGATGCAACTCTCTCATCTAAAAAAATAATATTAATCATTATAACTTCTTATTACATAATGAGATCAACCAATAAAGATTTCAAAATTGATTATTTATTAATTATAAGTTAGCCATACACTTTCAGGAATGTCCATTCAAGATTGAACCATAATATTGTTCAAATACAATGCAACCTTCATATCATTTTAAGTGAACTGAGAAAAAAAGCATGATCAAAACTATCAAAATATGGTAAAATTTACGTTTCTGGCTCTATGGCAACACCAAAAAATACGATAGTTTTTACTGAAAAAATTTGGCAATGACTTTGGAAGAATTAACAATAAAATATTGTTTTATAATGTATGTTAAATGTGGTAAAATTCAGTAATTTCCACATGCTTCCTTAGAGCAAAGCATAAAAACCATTTATGCGATTAAATATTCTTTTCAGTTTACATATTTTTCACTACAGTGAAATAAAGATTCTTTTTACCTTTAAAAATCTGATTAATAACTTGGATTTTTAAGTATATATATGAGTGAAGCACCAAAATGCATTTTTCATTTTTCACTTAAATATAAATTTGTGACTCTTAATGTGTGCAGTTTTAAATTTCACTTTTAGTATGATTTTAAAAATATATAAAGAGAAGATCGGGTATTTAAATAGTCCTTATGCAAATGAAGCAATATTCGATCGAAAACCTAGATTCTAGATTTAACGGTAACATTTGGAAACTTTTTTTTCAATTGACGAAGAGGACAATTGTATCTCTATGGCTAAATTCTGCTGATGTAAGAATAACAATTTCGTTTCAATGTTGGACATTCCGCTTATGAGTAATTGGGCGATAAGTAATTTGCAAAAAGTTAGAATTGATCCACTCCGTGACAAGTTTATGTACATATGTTAAATTAAAAATATCATATTAACTTTAAATTAAGAGATGTTCTTTCGAATTACTAATTAAAATTAATGAATTAATTTTGGGTAGGAAATCTAAAACTGTTTCGCTTTCCATCAATATCCGCTTTCTCTTCACATTTATATATTTCCTTCAAATAACTGAATTAACATTATTAAATAAATTATAACTTTGTGCTATGTTATTGCAATTACGCTCTCTCATTCAGTTCTAATTCTCATTATAGTTCTATCTCATCATATTTCTTAAATAAATGCTTTTGACTCATACTTACGAAGTTGTGATCAGGTTAGATAGATATATGTAAAATAAATAAGAAATAATATAAAATTGTCAAAAAACGAGAATAAAAAAATATTGTTTCATGAAACGAATACCAAAAATTACATCTTAAAAATTTAAAATAGATAATTATACGAAAATAAATTTTTAGAAAAGAAATCAAACAAAATCGTGTTCATCATTCTAAGCTTAAAGTACTATTCACCACCATTTAAAAAATCTATTTCTTTTTTAATGCAGTTGATGCTATTAAGCAGTTGAAATTATATTTCCTCTGAAGGCAGACACGAATATCTATGATAATATCGAAACGCAGCGTATTAACACTAAATAGAAATTCACAGTTAAAAATTCTCTCCGCCCACGGTTAAAATCGTGTCTAAGTAAGGATGTAACACAAGTGAAGAGCAGAAAATAATGACCCTCTTCAAAGAGTAACCCTTTAACTACCAAATGCTAAATTCAAAAACTGATCAGGAGCAATTAGCAATCGTAGGGAGGGATTCTAATCATTAGAGAGCATTTCAATTGCATGAAAATGTAAATTACTTCACGAGTTGCTTTGCACGATACTACGTAACGGTATTGAGATGAACAGATATATATTCATATGAAGGTATGAAAATTGTACCACTAAATAAAATACTCTCATAATTACACACACGTAAATAAAAATATAAATGCAAACAACATTTAAAATAATTAGGTACACTATTATAAAAATTGGTTCGGCAACATCCATCTTATCTGAACCTTGAGCTATAATACGGTTTAATCTTGCTGCATTATTTTTACAATCATTTTAAACTTACCGTTTTCATTTCTTTCTTCGTTACTCGAGGGATGTCAATGTTGCGGCTTTTGAATTTCAACGTTTTTGTTGCGACCAATGTTCCTTTGTACAGTGCAGTGTGAGTAAACGTTTGCCCCGTAAGTTTGGATTCTAAAGATCCTTCGGAACGGATACTCATCTAGAAAAAAAAGTTTTAATTTCATATTGTTAAATTATATCTAAAATTTATGTTTATAGATGGCAATTATGTTTATAGATGGTTTATATCAATAGATGGCGCTGTACCAATTATTTACTTTCTCATAATTGTTATATTTTTATTCCCTCTTGTGCTGTCCATATGAAATAAACGTTGTGTTCGTTTCTCCTGAGTCATATTTATTTGGGTATCCAAGTATCTTTAGAGTACAGAATTAATATGGTGCCGAAATCCCTGGAATAGGGGACTTCTTATGGAATTGAAAATTTTTGGAAGAATACTTGGATAAATTAATTTAGAACGATGGCTACGAAAGAAGTGATAGGGAATCAAAAAATGAAACGAACTGTGGTAAGACGGCTAACTACCAAATTGATATCGAAAATTGAACCGAGTTTTGCAGATGAATCGCAGGATGCTGAAAAAGCAGAACTTTTATTGGATTTAAGTGAGCAACTAAATGCAAAAATGATGGAATTAAAACGATTGGATGAAAAACTGGAATACACTGTTGCTGAACAGGAGTTCGAAAACGAAATAACCACCTGCCAAGAATATCAAGAAAAAATAGTGACATGGAATGGTAGGATTCAGAGATTTTTAAATCAATGTTCTTCTAACTCTAAAATTAATATCGAAAGTGATAGAAACGAAACTGTTGTTGTTAAAACTGAATCAAAAATAATGAACTTACCTCGTCTGCAAATAGGAACATTTTACGGAGATTCGACCAAGTGGTTGGATTTTTATAATCAATTTGAAACAGCTATTCATAACAACAACGAATTACGAAAGACTGAAAAATTTGCATATTTGAAATCCTTGCTTGGAGGAAGCTCTGTCGCATCTATATCTGGATTTGCCATTAGTGATCAGAATTATGATTCCTCTATCGAGATTCTGAAAGAACGTTTTGGAAGAACGGACATTGTAATAAGCTCTCATATGACGAAACTTCTTGCTATTGAACCTATTCGAAATGTTTCCAACTTAAAAGCTCTAAGAAGACTATATGATGAATGTGAAATACAAATAAGAAGCCTGTCATCATTGAATGTAACTGCAGGAAGTTATGGAAATTTACTATGCCCAATTATTCAGCAGAAGCTTCCAGAAGANTGTTAAAAATTGCTTAAAAAAAGTTTTGGGTAAAACTTCTCTTTGTTATGAAGAATTAATTACTGTATTAACTGAGGTAGAATCGGTTATTAACTCCAGACCATTAACTTATGTTTATAATGATTTACATGAGCCTGACCCCTTAACTCCTTCACATTTTACTGTTGGGTCACGTTTAACTACTTTACCTTCTCCAAATAATCTGAATTTAATGTCAAATAAAGTGGAATTAATTAAAAAGTGGAAATATAGATTACTATTGCTGGATCATTTTTGGAAAAGATTCTTTAAGGAATATTTATTAGATTTAAGATCTGTTATGTTTTCTAAACAATCAAAAAATGTGAATACTTATAAAGTTGATGATGTTGTTCTCATGAGAGAAGATAATGTTAAGTGCCATAATTGGAAGTTAGGAAGGATAAAAAGTTTGTTTACCGGTAGAGATGGAAAAATTAGATCATGTGAGATTCAATTGGAAAACAATGTTGTTAAAAGACCTATTTAAAGACTGTGTAATCTAGAAGTGCAATAAATATTTAATGCATCCAATAAATGGATGCATGGTGGAGAATGTTAAATTATATCTAAAATTCATGTTTAAAATTAATATCAATAGATGGCGCTGTGCCAATTACTTACTTTCTCATAATTGTTATATTTTTATTCCCTATTGTGCTGTCCATATGAAATAAACGTTGTGTTCGTTTCTCCTGAGTCATATTTATTTGGGTATCCAAGTATCTTTAGAGTACAGATTTAATACATATACAGACACTAACAAATAATTAGTTATCATCGGCTTTATATCCCTAAAATAGTGTATGCACTATCAGAACACCCCTTAATTATCAAGGTGTGGGGATGTTTTTCTAAGTTTGTAAAGTTTAAGGGTAAGTTTGGAATGACTTCTTAGTTTCTGTGGTAATAAATGTGAACTATGAGATGTAAATGGGCATTCTGGACTATTCTGATCCCTCAACTCTAAGGCAATATTTCGAGAAAGTCTCCATTTCTTTTCCAAAAGGATAACTTTTCCATGCATATATCAAGACCATCACAATAATGGTTTGATGAAAAGGGCGTTTCAAAATTTCGACTTGTCTTCTCAGATCTCCAATATATCGGGTTGCTCGGAAAGTAATTTTTTTACCTAACTTTATTATATTTTTCACAGAGAACTTCCCCTTTAAGCCTACATAATCATTACATAATTTGAACGCTGATACAGCAAGGCTTGCTTGTGAAAAAGTTCGTTTGGTTCTGCTCCGTAGTTTTTCCTTGGTGCTATTTTAAATATGGAAAGCTAACCGCACCATTTTCGGCATATAACTTTCTTACAATCAAGAAGGTAAAAAATTTGTTTGAACTGCTAAAAAAATTTGATCAAGAATGGACAAAATATGATTCAATAAAATATTCATTCACTGTAAAAAGAAAAAAACATCTATCACAAAAAATTTAAAAAAAAAATGAAATTACTTTCCATACAACCTAATATATTCCACTAAACACTTTAGGAATGAATTAGAATGCAGATTACGTATTCAGCTACTGTTGTCATCCTTACTGTCAGCACTCAATTCAATTGTGATTGACGCCTAGAATTCAATCCCTACGACCATTTATTAAAACCTTTTGAAAAGTCTACCCAGGCATGTGCAAGCTGTCATTGATGCAAAAAAGAGGGGGACCATCATCACATTAATTTATGCTTGGGCACTCTCGGCGTCCGTACCATATGTGCTCGGTCTGAAATATATAGTCGTTTCTTTCATCTGTAATCCCACTGGAAATTTTTATATTTAAATATTTCGAAAGCCGTTAATCAAGACTCTCAGAAAATGCTTTATTTATTTTAATATTCAAGTGAAAGATATTGTGCCTTTTGAGTAATAATAGATTTAAAAATATTTATTTTTTATGAAGAATAATTTGCTTTATACCTTTTAGGTGAAAGGAAAAAGTTTATTTTGTGTAATGCCAAACCTGATTCTAATATAATATGTATAATCACTATATTTATAATCGGTAATATATCTAGTAGTAGTCTTCAAAATTACTTAAGGTATAAAAAATCATCATGTTTTAAACACTCAAAGAAAAGGTGTCCATTTTCAAAATCCACCACACGTTAATAAGATTAAATGAAAAAAGAGTTATAATTATTGCAAATAATATTTCATTAAAAGATTAGTTATTAGATAAATATTAAAATATATTTTTATATCAATAAATTTAAAGAAATATTCTATTTAATTATAATTCCCTAATATTTAATATTTTTATAGCATTTTAATAATTAAGATTGAATGAAAAAAAAATGTAAACAATGCAAATATGTCATTTAACGATTAGTAATTAGATAAATATTAAAATATAATGTTTATAAATTTCGGAAAACGATTACCTTTGAATATAACTTTCTAATATTGCACAGTTTTTTAACATTTTAATAACTGATTACAAAAAAAAAAAAAATTACTAAGAGCTGTTCAGATCAATTGCTTGGAAGACATAACTCCTTTGAAAGTTGCATTTAATATCTCTACTTATTTATATTAAATTTATAAAGTTTTACTAAATGCAAGGCATAAAATAAACCTAATAACTCAAAATGAAATTTCTTGTTATGAGAAAGATCATTTGTATATGAAAAATTAAAAAAAAGCATTTTCAGTTCGTATCATTTTTATATAAAAATATTTATGGTAAATAGAAATTTTCCAGTGGATATTGAAAGCCTCTCCTCGAATATCCTTCTTCACAGAAATAAATGAAATGCGAAGGCACACTTTGATGATGGCTAATGGCTTTAAACGGAGTGGAGAGAAATTCTATAAATTTTCTTGGTGAACGTATATTTATGTATCTTTGAAAGCTTATACGGACCATAAGCGAGGAAAGATGGCTGAAGGAAAAGTAGTTATAAATTTGAGGATGAATTCGGAAGAGAAATAAAATGTGCGACTAGCTGAACTCTATAGGGTTAAAAAGTAGTTTTATTTAGATCGATCAATAAAGCTTGTCTGGGAATACAAATTTCCAAGTGTAAATATATATTTTTTTAAATTGTATTTGTATGTAGTAAAATGACTTTAAAATTCTCTTCAATTGTATTATAGATTTTAATATTTTTGGTCGAGAAATGGAAAGCTGTTGCATTACAGAAATTTGTAAAGAAATGAAACAAAACTTAGTTTCATTTCGGTGTCTAAAGTACTCCAATTCACGTAGCAGTAGAGTTTAAATACAAAATATCTATCATGATTTGAATTCGTATTAAGTTACTATTCTATTATCGTTATTTAGTTTTTATTTTTAACTTTTCCATTTTAGCTACAAATGCAATTATTTTGAGTCTCGATTAAACTTGGAGCTAAAATACCTTAAAAAATAAAGTTGGGGATCGGCGTCAGAATCGAGGTGAATGATGTGTATGGAATTTAATCGAAAGAAACTCCTTCATCAGTGAATCGCGAAAGAGATATTTTTAAACAAGAAAATTAATCCTAATTTTTCATATATTTTTTTAAAATTTTTAATTGATTAGTATCTTATTTAATCAGTAGATGACAGCACAATATTTCTACGCCATAGCAGTTTCATGAGATCTTTTCGAAACATACAGATAAAGTTTTAATTTTACTTACAGAAAAAAGTAAATTTTTTTATCCTTTATCGAGTAATTAAACACTTTTCCGTTTACGAAAAATTTATATTATATAAAACGCTAATACGTACGTATGTATCAATAAAGCCGATGATATTTCTTTTCTCACGTTGGCAACAGTTTTCATTTTTAATTGATAGGCTTCGGCGCGCAAAAGCACGTAGTAAGCATCATATGGCTAATCTGTATTATATAAAGCGCTAATACGTTTTAATTGATAGGCTTCGGCGCGCAAGAGCACGTAGTGAGCATCATATGTCTAATCGGGTGAATTCTCACCGAATTATCAAAAAAATTCTCACAAAATTATGTTCATCGAAGCCAATGCTTTACATCCGGCGTTCAGTACTATTTCATATTGTTTTACAACACATGGTTTGAGCCCTCTGGTGGGAAAGACTTTAAAACAAAACTTACAACAGTTACTTTTCTCAACAACTGAAATTTAGAATAGTGTGATTAAGAAAAATATGTGAACTGTTTGCAATTTCAAATTAATATTGAAATGCACAGGTTTAGAATTTTCTACAGTGAAAAGTTTTCGGAACTTCAGTGTTCAAAAAAGTATACAAAAGCTAGACGTTAAGAACGTATCCAATGAGCGAGCAAAGCGAGCATCGGATTGCGAAGCAATCCGAAATGAACTGCGAAAGCAGTTCCGGGAGTTGGCGAGCGCCAGCGAGCAGGGGGCGAAGCCTCCTAGTACTATAATATTCCTTGAAAAGTTCCACATGAGTTCCTTTTCTTTACATATTTTTGAGAGATTAGGAAACATACTAACGCAACGCATTAATATTGAAAAATAGCTTCGTTATAATAGCTTAATTTTCTAAATCTTAAAATGTGTCTTAATCTTTAAAGGTTTCTTAAAGGATTTTTTTGTTTAAAAACAATTTTATCACGGCAATATCTTCTTACTGACCAGTAAAGTTCAGCAACTTCTTTAGAAAAAATGTAAAACTTATACTCTATATATTTATTTACTTAACATACGACGGGTACTGAAGAAAATAACTGAGTTAATAACACACTGCCTTCCCTCCTTCTTCCTTTCTAATGTTTGAACGTAGTGTTGCGTTTCTCTTACTCTTATTCTGTTTCATCTGTTAAATCGTTATGGCAAATTGTAAAGAAAAAGAGCTTGTGTTTGTAATGTTGTCTTCTGTTAAAAAAAATCGACAACTGACGAAGCATACCAAATGCTTCAACAGTCTTTTGAAGAGGATGCTTTGAGCCACACCCCTGTTTTCGAGAGGATAGGGCATTTTAAACTTGGTGAGATGAGTTTTGAATGCTCGTTCTGAGCAACCTTCAACATTTTGAAACAACAAAAAAGTTAAAATATCCATTAAAAAAATTTACGATTATCACACTTCCAGGATAGGCCAAATTTCAGAAGTGACAGGCGTGAACTGGAATTCGTTCAAAGGGATTTTTATTGTAGGTTTGCAAATAAGACGCCTTTCCGCTAAATTTGTTCCGCGTCTTCTCTCGCAGCATCATGTATATGTATAATCTGTTTGTTGTAAACACCTCTAATGCGTGAATGCATTTTTCTTTCTTGGCGAAAGGAAGGATAGCCAACTCGCCGTGCAACAATTTTCAAAGTCTAAAATCTATGTGATACCAAATCCAAAAGTAATCTTAAAATTTCAATTTTGTATCTTGATACCAGCGAGGATTTCAAAGCAGACTTAGAAGACTACGTTTAAGAAAGTTTGCCCGTAATTACAACTTAATCTTTTTCATATTTTTTTTATTTATTCATTTATTTATTTTTTTTTTTTGCAAAAGTTTGGTGAATACAGCTTATGTCAAATATCCCATGCTTTCTAGATCAAATAAGGCAGCTTGGAAATTTTAAACTGCGTGCTTGATACCTAAACACGCAAGATAACACCATTTTTCTTAAACAATATTCTGCCTTTATACAAAACACATTTTAATGCCAAAAACATTTAGAAGAAATCGTATGATCGCTATAAAAAAATTTATACTCAATTCAAACTGTAGTTGATGTCAGCAGCAAATCGACACAGTAAAAGTGTTGTTATTAAATGTAGGAATCTTCAGACATTGCTTCTTTTTGATAACCTGCGTACGTTTATGTTTGTTTCAACAAACATCACCAAATTGATTTGTTCTCTACTTTTATAAATAGCATTAGGTTTTTCAACCATTCCTTGGTACCAACAGAGCTAGAAGATCTTGGATGGCGATTTCAAGTCTTCAAAAAATCTTCACCAAAACAGTATTTTACCATTGGGAATAATATTTAAGCACAATTTTCATTTGCAACTCCTAAAGTTTCTAAAGTTCTCATATGTGATTCGAGTTTATCATTTAAAGATGTCATAGAAACTTCTTATTTTTATGCACAGAAATTCCTTGGCGTATCCTATTTAAGAATCATCTCAACTGAAGCGAGCTTTCCACTGTTTTGTCATAATTGGCTCTCTGGTGGAAAACTTACAGCAATTTCCCGAGCGCGAGATCTAGAAACAATGACTAGAATGAAATATCAAAACTTGTTTTCTGTGCTACGTCGCCATCTATCTGAATACGCTCGATCTGACTACAAACTGGCGACCAATCATTGATATTACCAGAAAATTGTGCGAACTCTAATTTCAGTAGATAAAATTTTATTTTATCGCTAGTTTCAGATAATAGTGATTTTTCACTTACTTCTACTACGGTAAATTATGCCTAGATTTTCGGTAAATGCAGCTTATATTCTTCTTTCTCCTTCTTTATGCAATCTTTCCTTTTCTTTTTCTCGACTCCCTCTTTCTGTTTCAGTTCTGCGACAGCCGTAATTAAAACAAACATGATGAAGTTAGAATTCTTTTTGTACTTATCATTGTTAAAAATTACATTCGTTAAGTAATTCTTTTTTGTTTTTTTATTCTTTTTTTTTGGTCCTATGTTTTCACCAATTTTTTTCTGCAACCAGCAACAAATCGTCTTTTTCAAAACTTTAACAGCAGCAAACATTATAAAAAAAATAAGTAATGTTTTCTTGCATGCCAAAAAACTTAAAATCAAATCAAGCTAAATAATTAAGGGACAACCAATCAAGCGTTAAAACTTCAAAACTTTTTTTTGACCCGGAAAAAAAATCATGGAACAAGGCTGTCTTCTTTTTATTTATTTTCAAAAGTATAAACAGTCGATCACATGAATCGATTGACTGCTTTCACAATTCATGCTTATTAACACTTGAATAAATTAAATAAATGATCTTCAGTTCATCATTTTTAGCAGATGATCCGTCAGTTCCCATTGTTCGTATTTTACATACCTTGTCCCGTGCAACTTTTTTCCTGTTACTGAGAATGAAGAAAATCTAAAAGGGAGGCGTTTTGATGCTTAGAGTTCCGAACGATATCATAGTTAAGGAATTTAATAGAAGTTTCAAACAGCAGGAAAAAAAAAGACTAGACAAGTGAGTTGCATCTAATGGAGAGTTGTATAAATAAGGCTAAAACTGTTTATTTTGTTGCGAAAATAAAGATATTTCGTATATAAATTTTAATAACCATTCTTTTCCAAACCTTTCTTTTTAAAAAAGGGACAAAATACATGTGGCAAGATCGTGAACTTTGAATAAATAATTGTATTCGGGGAAAAAGAAGTTGGAAAAAATGTCTTCTAAGAGTTTGAGAGACCAAGATTTTTTAGCATAGAATGAATACACAAAAAATTCCAAAGGAAAATTCAACTTAAAATTTTGTAAATGACTTAAAACTTAAATTGTCCACAGTGGCCCTATTGGTTAGCACGGTACTTGTAATGCAGTGAATGCAAAAATGTTAAGTTCCTGTAAGTTCGACCCTAAGAGCCGCGATGGTTCAGTGGTTAAGGTACTAAACAGCCCTTGTAAAGGACAGGGATTCGATTTTATGTGGCGGCTGGAAGCAAGCCCATCGTGCTACAGATCGATGGGCGCTTGCTGGTCAGGGAAGTAGCGACTGCTTGTGTGCAATGCTGACCATAGTGGCACAATTATGCCGCCGGTCATGAAATTATGAATCCTTAATCTCACGACCCCCTTAGCTCACAAAGAAGTGATGCAGCAATGTTTCGATTTTACTTAAATCAAAGTTGCTAGAGTCGGGATAGCCTGGTTGGTAGGGCACTGGATCCATGTCCAAGAGTTCGTGGGTTCGATCCCAGTCGGCCGAAGACTCCTCTTGTAGTAAATGGTAACTGTTGCACGTTAAATCGGTCGAGTCACAAAATCCTCCATGTTCCCATAACAAATCAATACCTCTTTGCACCTATACCTCTTTGCACCTATACCTCTTTGCATCTACTTTGCACTGTTCCAAGAGTTTCCTTGTCTTTTGAATTGGTTCAAAAATTACAAGACAACAGAGTTGAACATTAGTAGTCGTAAATCCAAAATTGGGCCGGCTGTTCAACGACGGATATAAAAAAAAAATCAAAGTTTCATGTTTTTTTTTTATTCATTCCTAATGTTCGAAGGTGAAGTTAAAGCAGGTAATAGGAAGAGGATATTGCGACTTTCTTGCGTAAGCGTGGGGGGAGATTAGTGATTGACTTACTTTTGTTGAATAGAAGTGAGTCTTAAGTTGCCAAAACGTAATATTTAAAAAGTCCATTATTCTAGAGATAATTTTTAAATAGCTATCAACTTATTGATGGTCAAGTTGTTAAGGTTGTTGAACAGCTTTGAAAACCAATTATAAGGTTGTACCACCTTATAAATTTAGTTAATAAATCGAGTTTAGAAATTAATAGTAAGTTTGTATTCCTTTACTTTGCTTCCTGCTGATAAAATTCCAGTTGAACCATATCGCTGAATATCCTCCAAAGGAATTTTCCAAAGTAAACCACAAATTTCTTGCTCATACTTCCATTTTCTGAAATTTTAATACAAAATAATAATAATACTAATTGATATAAATTAATATAAAAATATTCAATATTAATAATAATAACTATAGTAATAATTAATATTAATAAAAATCAATAATAGTTAGCAATAACATTGATAATAATATTTAACAATTAACAATAATAATAATTAATAACAGTAATAATTAATATTAAAATTTTAAAAAAAAACTAAATACTTTTAAAAAATTCAATAATGACTTTTAAAAAACTGTAATTAATTTTTCCGTATGTAGGGAAAAAAAGCAGGTTTGCATACGTTTTATTTATTCCCATCACTTACTACTTTCTTAACCTCATTCATAACGGCATTCCACTTCGATTTATTGATGCCACTGAACAGAGCACCGCGTAAAAAAGTGATCACGTAGCATGTCGGTAGACTGATGTTAAGATATTTGTAGATATGAGGTGATGTTTGGAAACTTTGCAAGCATTATAAATAAAAATGCAATTTGGGATATTTCCAAAATATGTCAGTAATTTTTATTCATTATGATAAATTTTAAATCAACTTTTGATACATTACAGTTTTTACACTTATACTTAAATTCTCGTCTCGTGTAGTTTGCACTGCAAGCAACGCATTATTAATTTTGATTTTTTTTTCTACTATCTATAATCGAAGGAAAATATTTTTCTTACTTACGAAACATATTAAGCGTATTCAGAATATACTTTTGATAGTATTAATCCATTATAAGTCAAAGAGATATTTTGTTAATACCATAGAGTCAATATAGGTTGTGGACCAGTAGCAGTTTAAATAAGATTGGACCAGTTATGTTGATGTTTAGGTCAATATGGGTTAAAGGCCACTAGCAGTTTGAAGAAGATTGGATCAGTTATGTTAATAGGTTAAGGTCAATATAGGTTAAGGGCCAGTAACAGTTTGAAGAAGATTGGACTAGTTATGTTAATAGATTAAGGTCAATATAGATTAAGGGTCAATGGTAGTTTGAAGAACATTGGACCAGTAATCAAACGATATCACGCTGACGCCGGCTAAAAGCGACGCTCGTGCACGCAGGGCATCCCGTGGATACAGACTAAATACGGCTCTCGTAACGAAAGGGTTACATGTTTGTTGCGACTATATTATGTATGGTGATTAAGTACAGTGGTAACAAACTTGGAGGAGAAGGCATATCATAAGAATTGAGTATATCATAAGAATCACATAGCAGCTGGTCCGAAATGTTATCGTTCGCCACTAGGGGCGCTTTCTTTTTATTGCTCGTGGGCCTTTGAGCTGGGAAAAATATAGATTTATGTTATCATAATTTCATGTTTTTATTTTCTTATGATTAATGTTTAAAATTTCAATCAATTTGCAATCAGAAATAAGATCATTTGAGTAGAATTGAGCATTTGATATTTGAGTAAGATGATTTGGTACTAACTTGGCGAGCTATTCAAGTTAGTTGCGATATTATTTAATAACGATAAAACAATGATTAATGAGAATTCACTGAGAAAACAGTTACTTTTAACACAATTTTCAAAACTTATTATAAGAAAACATAAAATAAAGAAAATTTGCATAAATAAATGCAACAACAGTAAGGCATACGAACAGGGAGTTCATATTAGGGTAGCGTCTCAAACGATATAAGATAAAAATTTCCGGCTATGGGTTGATATGCAATTCTTATATTTTATGGTGTGCCCTACCTCCTGCAGTTTTGTAATCGTTAAACTGAATCACCCAGTGTAGAGATAATTTTTTTTTTTATTTCGTCGCTAGTTGATTTGTGATGCACAATGCGCAAAAAAATGGACCACTCTGAATAAATTTTGATCAACTGATCAGATCATCACGTTCTATCAAATTTAATGGTTATAGGAAGTGACCTCAAATATGCTAATTAATTACTCCCGACGGTATTTTAAGTTACGGAGTTAGAGACCAAAACACACTTTCTCTGAATAACAAACCATTTTTTTCGACAGATTCGGATTTTTGATTCCAAAATGTAGGGAGTAATCGTAATCTGGGAAATTTTTGCACACAATTATAAAATTTGTTCAGCCGAAGATAATTTAATGCAAATCATAACATTTAATAAGTATTTATTATTTTCTTTTATTATTTTATTCAATAAAAGTCGAAAATGTTTTGACTAGTAAGGTACAAATTTTTTGTATATCATTTTAAAGAATAAAATTTTATACGGCAGAATACAAAAATTGAGCGAAATAGGCTAAATAGTTTCTGTTATAGTTTCTGCTATAGTTCTAGTTTAAGTTATTCAGGGTGGTGCATTTCCTGCGCACTGTATATTTATTTAAAACTAGTTCTAAAATAATTAATGAAATTAAAATAAGGTGTTTTATCTAGATGCTTTTTTTATTAATTTTTAAGAAAAATTGATTATACCTTGAATCATAATGTGAGGCAAATTAGCTACAATCCAATTAAACCATTTACGATAAAAAATGATAAAGTGAAATCATGCACAATAATATGGTAAATCTTAGCACCATATTAAATTTACGCTTAACACAGTTAGCTTTGCACAATATTGCGGTTCAACACACTTAAACATTTTAAACAATGCAATTTGGAAAGATTTAGAATTAATATACTTTGCTGTTGAAATTATTACGAACTGCTGTTGAACACACTTAAGACGCACTTTACTTATAAGTTAAGGTAGATATATCATTTTGATGTATCTACCATAGAAAGATATTTCTTCAAACCCGAGACAAATATTTGGGCCGCAAATAAAATCTGGTAGTTTTTACTGATTTCATTTTTATTGATTTTTAGGAAAAATTAAAACTAAATATTAAAATTAAAATGTATTTAAAGTAGTTTAAAAATAATTTATTAAAAAAATGCAAATTTGACTATATTTGTAATTATAACTTTATAAAAATAAAACTACCAACACTTACTTATACATAATCCAGCTAGCTACGCAAACAACAAGTAGGATAAATGCTAATACACCAGTGAAAATTTCTCTAATGTGACCTGTTTGATAAAAAAAAATTTATAAAATAAACAAAATTCTTAATTAAAAATCACTGAATATATCAGATTAATAACAGTAGCCGTGAGTCAAAATATTGCAACCTACAAATTATGCATATTTTTTCTTCATTTAATCAATATTAAAATGTATTTATACTATAAATTTTTAAAAATCAAAGACAAAAATATTTTCTAAAATGCAAGAAATTATTTAGAGTGAAAAATTTTTGTGTCTACGAGGCTTTACGCTGAAAAGTCGCAAAACTCAAAAGAAATTACTTAGAATCCCAAGTTTTTGACCAAATTTTATTGAATAAAACTTTTCTTTCAAATTTAAATTTCCAATTAGCTATCAACTAAATTTTTTTTAATTATGAATACTTAGAAGTCCTTAAAAGTAAACCTAAAAATATCACCTATAAATGTTTAAATCTTATTTCTGTAATTTTATAATTTTATAACCAGAACATATTTTACAGATAGTGATCTTTTACATATTTCATCAAAGTAATTTTTATTTCTAATAACCACAACACTTTGATCCCTTAATTATCTTATAAATCTTATCAAAGTAATTTTTTATTATTTTGCGTTTACGACTTAAAATTCTAACTTAAATTTCAGAGAATTACATTGAAGAAAAAAGTACAGTCAAAATGAACAGAATATGGTTTAATTTATCGTTTTTCTGACTCTTTCGGAACACCAAAAAGTTTGGTAATTTTTCTGGAGCGTAATGATTTTGGCAAAATTAACGCAAAAATATGGTTCTTTAAAAAATGTGCTCATTTTATTATGATACCTAAGAACATGAACTAAAAAACCACTTTTTCGGTTAAATTTACTTTTCAGTTTCGTATTTTTTACTAATTGTGTGATAATAAGAACTGTAGTTTTGAAAACCAGAATTTTTGGTAAACTGTTACCTTAATGAACGAAAAAATTACCAACTGTTTAAAATTTAAAAAATAAATAGTAAAATTATAAATAGCTTTAAAGAATATTTTGTTTTTTTTTAATTATAATTTTACAATTTATAAAATTAGTGAATTGTAGTTTAAACTTTCTCTATAATATCTTCATAATTTATTGCTCAATGCATAAATATTTTTTTCGTGAAAAAGAAAGGATTTATGAAGTTGTTTTAATAGCAATTTGAACATTAATTTAAAAACAAAACATATTTTTTTAACAATAATAACATAATATTATAATAATATAACATAATAACTAATAAAATATAATAACTGTACATAATTTTATAGATATTCATTTAAGTTAAAATATTTTTTAACTCTTACATAAATTTATTTATAACGTCTCTAAAACATCCATTAAATATGTCAACTCCTAATCACTCAGCCCTAGTCAAATATAACCTTCACCTCATCTTATACGTGATTTGATTATAAAGACTTTTAACCAGATCGTAACTGTGACTGAGTTGTTTTTAGGCTTTTATAAGCTTGCACTTAAAATACATATAATTTTAATATTATTAGATAAATTAATATTCAGATGTTATTAGCTTCAAATGTGATAAGTAATTTTTTAGCAAATCTTACTATGTAATTAACATATTAAACTTATACATATATTTATTTCTTTTTAAAAATTTAGAAATATGTTACTTGTTCAATTTCTCTTAGGTGACTTCATCGATATGTTTGAAATTAAAATGTAAACTAATTATGCGCTAAATAAATGATAGCAAATGAATGCTACATTTTCTAAAGAAAATTAATAGTTAAGATTTCATTTCAAGAAGTACAATAATTTTTTAATAATCTATTATAAACTCATGAAAATCTTAATAAAATTTGGGCCATAAAATTTTAAAAACAATTAATGCTGATTTTGAGATAAAATGCTGAAAGTTTTTTTAAAAAAAATATTTTGATATTTATTTATTTATTTTATTGTGAACTACAAATATTTAACTAGCATGTAAAAATTTCAGAAAAAATTATCTTTAGAGAACAGTTGATAAAGGTAATGCTAGTATTAGTTATATAGGTATTACATTTAATTTAAATTCAACTTGCACAAGTATTTTTATTATTTATATTTTTTAGTCTATTTCTTTTAACTAAAGGCATTCTTCTTTTAAAATTTTATGAAAACTATGTGCGTAAACTTTTTTATGTCAACGTGTATTTTTGAAATCTTTTTAAGTGACATTTGCTTATTCTTCCTAATTCGTGACCCAAATAGATAAATAAAAAAATTTGTTTTTAAAATTTTATGGCCCAAGCAACTTTTTTTAGTTGGATATAATTAAAAGCGAATCTTATTTCATTATTATAATTGTTATTGCCTAGCATTTTCTTTTTTTAGTTTACATAAAATATTTTTTTTATGCATAACTAACGCACAAAAAATTAGTTTCCTAGCATAAAAAAATAATAATTTTAATGCTTTCTTTAAGCTATTTATTTATGCCAAAAATGAGATTATTACTTGGTGGATCATAGCATCCTTTTCCATTGAAACCGCACGGAGGTTCATCTAAAGGTGCTTCCCAATGTATATCGACATCCAATAAAGTGAACACCTAGTAAAGTAAAACAAAAGTAAGCAAATACTGCATTATAACGTGCAAATTTGAATACGTTGTTTGTTCCAAAAGTGGCAGATTTTATGGCCTTGTCATACCACCTTCCTGTCATGTCTTGGTGAGGAATTGTTGATCCTTATCATTTATTTACTTTGTCCAAAAGTCGAATTAGCACGTGGCTAGAGCTAAGCTACAGTAATAGTAACCAGGTAACCGATAGCCAAGTACGGTCATAAGATGAGAGTGTGATTTTTACCCCATTGAAAATACTTAAAGTGACGACAATTTGTTTAATGATGGTAAAATAAGTTATACTGTTGAGAAAGCTAACACTCTTAAACGCTATTTTTCTTCCTAAATTCGGAATTGTACCTCTGAAGCAACATTAATAGTAACTAGGTGCGACCATAAAATGGCCTAGGTCGGTTATAAGTCTTCAACCTGTATCTCTCTCCTAGCGACAGTTTTTTCAAATGCAGTCTATTTTTTGCTTAAATAAACACGTTTATAAACGTTATATATGAAAGGGGCCTACAAAAATATTGCTACCAACTTCTAGGGTAGTTAGAAAGATAATCAATGATTAAAACTGCATAGGAACCAATGTCAGAAAATGTTGTCATACGTCACTAAGGGGGCATCCCTATTATGAATTGTTTCTAAACAGTTCATAATAGGAAAGCACCATTAGGTGACATTTCCAAGTATAGGTTCTTCTGCAGTGTTAATTATGATGAAGAGCCGGAATTCCCCTATTTCGTAGTACATTGGATTGTTATACTATTATGTATTTTAAAATATATTGAATGCTTTATTTAACTGAAGATAACAAGTGTTTTAGTTTTTACTAGATAAAAAAATCAATACTGTACACAAGAATGATAAAAAGAAAATTTAGTTACCATCCTAGTCCTGTAATGTGTAATATTTTATTATCAGTCATAACAGCTGCCTGAGAACACTCTTTTATAAAACGTTGATAGTAAATAGTAGAGCGAGTTTTAATTTATGATTGGTTCAGTATAGTTGATGTATTTTTATGCTTCCTTAATTAGTGTTTCCAATTGCCCTCATAAACCAGATAAAATGTCTAATTTATTTTAAACGAACTTTTATTCAGTATCATTTTAAAAAAAGGGATCGTGAGGAGAATTTAAATTAAGCGTGATGAATATTTTGAAAGGGATGCAGTGAAAGCATGAAAGTTTTGCATTAATTACTGTGCTGATTGAAAATATAATTAAATTAAATTTAGTGAACCTATTTCAGCAGCTCTGAAACTATTTTAATATTCTAATTTTAAGTTCAGCAAAATAGCCTTAAGGGATAGGGTTAAAAATAAATATTAATTCAAAATATTATTGAATATTTCTTTTTTGACAATACACTGTTAGAAATTTCTCGGAAAAAATGGTTATATAAGAATTTACTTAATGGTTGCTTATTTAATGGTTGTATATTTCAGCAATAACTCTTATAAGGAAAACGATGGTTTTAGTTTCTATTGTAAAAATATGATTTTAATAATCTAATCTTTCAAAAACTCCTGACAATCGAGATGAATTATTTTTTTAAAAATCAAATAATGTTTTTAGTAACTAATATCTAAAATGTGAGAAATAATCCTTTTTGAGTATATTAAATAAACAAACCTCATTGTATTTTATAAACATTATAATTATAGATCTTGATGTAATTTATAAATGTCTAATACGACATATACTCATATATGTATTAGAAATTTGGACAATGCGCAAAAAGATGAAATTGCTCTAAGAAAGTTGGAGCGGTGGATAATAAGAGCTATTTTTGAAGGAATACGAGTTGATGGCTTATGGAACAAACGCTTAAATTTAGAACGTTACTGTGTCTGCAAAGAACCTGATGTCATCAAATACATAAAAATCCAAAGAATTAAATGAATTGACTATGTTATCAATATAAACAGCGAACGTCCAACATAAAAAATATTCTTAAGCAGGCCCTCAGGAACTCGAGCTAAGGGCCGATCCAACCTCAGATAGATTGAGCGTCTAGAAAAGAATCTCGTCATTGTAAAAGTAATTAGTTGGAAGACCATGGCCGAAAAAAGAGAGGCCTGGGAGAAGGTACCAGGAAGAAGAGCAGGGCCTGACCAGGGCTGTCGTGAGACTGGATAAGTAGAAGATAGATCTTGAACTCATATTTTTCGATTAAGTGAGAAGAAATGTCTAACGAGACCTAACCATGTACCAGTCAAAGGGGAGTGAGTACTAAATGAAAAATTGCTGGGGTAGCTGCAAAAGTGGATAAAATCAAGTTTTTTTTCCTCATTTTTACTATATTTAACACAGGGGAGGGTAGCCTAAAGCGGGTAGGTCGCCTAAAGTGGGTAGGCATTCGTATCCCGCCGCATGGCGCGCAAGCGCCGATATCTAAGTATGCCGTGATTACCCGAATACTCACGAGTTTCAATCAGTCCCAGCGGAGCAGAAGTAAAGCGACATGGCGTAACCAAGCACAAAATAAAAAAATTAATAAATTTATTAAAAAAACTCAAGATATGTAACTTGTGGCTAGTCGAAAGTCGGCTTATTTTTTTATTGTCAATATTATTATATTATTCTAACACTATTCCCCTATAAACTACGATGTTCAGTTATTTTAAATTTTTATTTTATTTAAGGTAATAACTTTTTTAGTAAAAAATATGATTTTGGGCAAAGCGGGTAGGGCAAAACGAGTAGATACCCGCTTTGCCCTATCCTCAAAGCGGGTATATGAATCTCACAAATATATTGAGACCCTTGAATATGCTAGAAAAAATAATGTAATTTCTGTATCGTTGCCTCCTCATACAACTCATCGCATGCAACCTCTGGACCGTTGCGTTTATGGACCGTTCAAAACTTACTTTGAACAAGAAGTTTCTACTTTTCAACGAAGTCCTGTAGGTAGAATAATTACTCAGTACGACATAGCTTCACTTGTTGGAAAAGCATATTCAAAAGCAGCTAGTGCACAAAATGCTGTTCAAGGATTTAAATCCTCAGGAATATGGTCCACGAACCGATACATATTTAGTGATGCTGACTTTTGGCCAGCTAGTCTGACAGACAGGGCTGAAGTTATTGAAAACACCAACGATAGCCCATCGCAGATCCAATCTACTGATGCTGGTCGTCTTTCTAATAATTCTGATTGCTCTACTTCTACATCTGTATTTGAAAACGTGGATCACAATTACTCTCAAGCTTCAAGGATTTCGCTACGACGCACAAGCGGAGAAACTTCGTATAATCTAGCTGTTGAAGATGATCCTTCATGTTCTACGACAACTAGTGACAATTCATTTCAGCCAGTAGAAGAGCCATTGACACCTCATTTGAAGCCTTTGGATATTAGACCGCTACCAAAACCTTCTCCGAACAAAACTAGTCGTAAAAGTAAAACTCAAAGAGCTGAAGTATTAACAAGTTCACCATTTAAAAACATGCAAATAGAAAAGGAAGAAAAGAAAAAACGTCTTAGTAACAATGCTGCTGTTCAAAAAAATTAAAAAAATCTTCCTTCGACAAGTAAACCAAGTAAAACTAAAAAACAAAGAGCTTCATAGAAAAAAATTGTAAAAGAGTATTTTTGTCTTGTTTGTGGGGGACCTTATGAGGACCCACCGCTAGAAGATTGGATTGAATGTGGAGATTGTAAAGACTGGGCTCATNTTATTTTTTCTATTGTCAATATTATTATATTATTCGAGCACTATTCCCCTATAAACTGCGATGTTCAACTTTAAATTTTTTTTTTTATTTAAGGTTATAATTTTTTTAGTAAAAGATATGCTTTTGGGCAAAGCGGGTCGGGCAAAACGGGTAGATACCCGCTTTGCCCTATCCGCAAAGCGGGTATATGAATCTCACAAATATATTGAATCTCACAAATATATATGAATCTCAAAAATATATTGAGGCCCTTGAATATGCTAGAAAAAATAATGTAATTTTTGTATCGCTGCCTCCTCATACAACTCATCGCATGCAACCTCTGGACCGTTGCGTTTATGGACCGTTCAAAACTTACTTTGAACAAGAAGTTTCTACTTTTCAACAAAGTCCTGTAGGTAGAATAATTACTCAGTACGACGTAGCTTCACTTGTTGGAAAAGCATATTCAAAAGCAGCTAGTGCACAAAATGCTGTTCAAGGATTTAAATCCTCAGGAATATGGTCCACGAACCGACACATATTTAGTGATGCTGACTTTTTGCCAGCTAGTCTGACAGACTGGGCTGAAGTTATTGAAAACACCAACGATAGCCCATCGCAGATCCAATCTACTGATGCTGGTCGTCTTTCTAATAATTCTGATTGCTCTACTTCTACATCTGTATTTGAAAACGTGGATCACAATTACTCTCAAGCTTCAAAGATTTCGCTACGACGCACAAGCGGAGAAACTTCGTATAATCCAGCTGTTGAAGATGATCCTTCATGTTCTACGACAACTAGTGACAATTCATTTCAGCCAGTAGAAGAGCCATTGACACCTTATGTGAAGCCTTTCGATATTATAGACCGCTACCAAAACCTACTCCGAACAAAACTAGTCGTAAAAATAAAACTCAAAGAGCTGAAGTCTTAACAAGTTCAGCATTTAAAAACATGCAAATAGAAAAGGAAGAAAAGAAAAAACGTCTTAGTAACAATGCTGCTGTTCAAAAAAATTAAAAAAATCTTCCTTCGACAAGTAAACCAGGTAAAACTAAAAAACAAAGAGCTTCAAAGAAAAAAATTGTAAAAGAGTATTTTTGTCTTGTTTGTGGGGGGCCTTATGAGGACCCACCGCTAGAAGATTGGATTGAATGTGGAGATTGTAAAGACTGGGCTCATGAAGCTTCTTACATAACTGATTCAGGAAGAGGGTCTTATTTTTGCGAACTATGTCAGGAATAACAAATCATAATTTGAGACTGATAAAATAAGTCTAAAATTGTTATTTAAATGTTATTTTTAACGTTTATTATACGTGTGATAAAGGTTTCATTATTAATGCTTACGAAAATTAATATGCGCTTGTATTTGTAAAATCTATGGTGCTTACCCGCTTTGCCCGAACGGCTTACCCGCTTTAGGCCCCTTGTAGGGCAAAGCGGGCTTTTTCAGTGTTTATTTTTTTGATAATAAATAATCATAAAATTTAAAATAACGCAATAATAATTTTTTATTTTAAAGTTCAAGATCTCTCTTAAGAAATAAAATCAAAAACCTTGCGATAAAAGTCCAAAAACTACAACTTTTGAGAGTTTATTGTTAACCTACCCGCTTTAGGCCACCCTCCCTTATACGTTGCTTCAATAACCACATGTATGATTATAAAAATAGCCTAAAAATTAAACTTTAAGTCACATCTCTTATGATTTCCAAGTTATGTCGACGATGACTATAGAACAAATACCAATGTATCAAAATATTTTAATTTTTCGGTATTTCATCAAGCAGTTTTGAAATTTCGAAATGGAACTTTTTTATTTTTTTAAAAAATTGGACCACCATTTTTTGAGACATCTTTGAATATTATATTATATGTGGTGCGGTTAAAATTCATGTGAATATTTTTATATTGGTAAATTGACTGTTGGTATAGTTTCATGAGTACATATTTTATTAGGATACATTTTAAACATTAATTAGCTTTTGAAATTGAGAAAAAGTAATCGTGTCGATAAAAGCATTTTCAATTTTTTAAATGACACTTTAGGCGCTTTACCTACCTTGTAAGTTTAATGTAAAATTTCAATTTTACTGAAGATTTTTAAATCTTATTCTACAGATTAATGGTAATTTAACAGGATCGATAAATTACTTGATTCAAAACTTCATTTGTTTCAAAAATGTAGAAATTAGAAATAACAGTTGAAAATTTTCAAGCTCTCAAAAATAGGCACCCATTTTCAAAACTATCCAGGCGTGAATAACAAGAGCTTAAAGTTTCTAACTAAATTGGAAAAATAAAAGTGAGAAAAAAAAAAGAAAAAAAAACACTGTATCCAAGAGAGAAAAAGATGAACATCTGAACAAGAAAAACCACGGTGATCTAAAAGGGCAAAATGATTTTTCCCGCTTTATGGAGAGGTGGTGAGAAACTGGAGTATTTTCTTATCTTCTTAGTTTCTCAACCCCTCTCAAACCACTGTGGTTTTTCTTGTCCTGATTTTCAACTTTTTCTTTCTTCATAACTGTGGTTTTTCTAGTTTTGTTTCTCACCTTTATTTTAACCTTTTTTCGCTTTCAACTTTACGTTTTATTTTTCAAATCGCTTTTGTTTCTTCAAGCAAGAAACAAACGTCCATCAAGTCTTGGAAATGGCAGCCTGTTTTTGAGCGCTTGAAACTTGTCTACTGTAATTTCCAATTGGTATATTTTTGAAGTGAATGAATTAATCAAGTAATCTCTTACCATTGCAGTTTCTTGGGACTATTAATTTAATGAATTGATTAATGTTTTTTACCGATTCACCTGTTCCACCATCATATTGAAATATGGCCATAGGCAGCATAAGATGAGAAAGATTCTTTCCACGTCCAATACCCTTTAGAGTTAGATTTGGTGGAGCTTGTTGCAAAGCGAGAACTGTGTAGTTGCCTTCGACGTCTCCATTAGTGTCAATATGCATCCATGCTCCAGTCACACCTGAGAAATAACAATTTTTCTATAATTATCACCCTGTATTATGCTATAATTGTAATGCTGATGAAAATGTATTACTTTTCAATATTATTATTTTTATTTATAAATTAATAAAATTATAAAATTATTCTATCATTACTTTCTTTAATTAGCTAATAAAATTAACAAAATTATTAATGTCATCAATTAAAATAAAATTTGACAGAGGAAAACAAAAAGAGTCACGGAGTCTGCGAGTATGATATTGTTTTGAGAAAACAACTTTAATGTTTACAAAAGTTTTCTTCAAAATACATCAATTAGGAGCATCATCAATTCATGTGTTCATGAAATTTTTAAAAAATTTTTTCCGGCTTTTTAAATCATGAAACATAACTTTCTTATTCGATTTTACAAATGTAATTGAACCTTTTGCAATTGAGTCTAGTATTTCATTTGCTTTCAAAATACTTCAATATATTTTCAGAAACAATATCCTACTATCATAAAAGGGCATTATAGGCTGCAAATTATTTCATGAATATTTTCCGTAACAATTGAAACTCTAGGTTCATCAGGCTCTAACTCTTTTTAAGTATTACTTTGTACACTCCATATTTTACACTTACCTACAGTCACGTAAAAATCCACGTGAACCTAAACCTGACAAACCTAAACAAATTTTTGAACCAAAACAAATCTTTGATAATATTATAATAATAACAGTCAGAATACAAATCGTAATTAATAATAACTGTCATAATACTGATTGAACAACATAGCTTAATGAATCATTTGAAATCTAAAAATAGAGCTTATGTTTCTAGAATGGATCATTTGGTTTTAAACTAATATTTTGACTTTTGACTTTGATACCTAACAGATCTCCCAACGAAATATATATATATNATATATTATTGAGAGAATTGGATTTTTGTTGAATTAAATTACAAGCTGGTTAATAATTTACAAATTACATTGAATTTCTACGACTCAAGGACTAAAACTCTAAGACTAAGAGAACATTAAAAAAAACATGGAAATAGAACCAATCTAAATATAAAAATTACTTCTATTTGTAAATTTTAAAAGCATGTAAAATAATATTATTCGGTTTTTAATTTCTCGTTAAATTCAAACTTAAAGGCCATGTTCCATTTTTGAATCATTGGCATGCAAGAGATAAGTTTGAGGACAATCTTCTCAATCAATGCATGCTCCCTATTAATTTGCAAATTAAAATTCTAGTTTTTTTAAAAAAATTCACTGTAATGTTATCTTCAAAATAATAATATGAAAGATTGATCTAAATAACACTCTCAGAAAAATGAGTTCAATTTTAATGACGTAATTCAAATGCACGATACAGCTCAAATTTGCTGCTAACTTAATAAAGGATTTCATTAATTAGTTCACCATATTTCAGTTGAAGTTGTACTTTAATATCGTAAATTCAAGTTCCAAGAAGTACGATTATATGGTTCTGTAATTTCCAACAGTCTATAATAGTCAAATGTAACAGCACCTTACTTACCACTCTCTCTATTTCTTTGCTATTACTGTGAGATAAATTCCAACTTGAAATGCTCGAAAGGCAAACTTTTAGTGCTTTATGAGTTTCTCATTAACCTTATTAGTACTTTATTCCAATAACTGTCAGGAGATAGAATTATAATTAGGCCTAATCAATAAGATCGCCGCAAACAGAAAAAAAAAGATCTAATAACGTTAAGAAATATAACTACGTGTATAAAAAGGAAAAAAATAAGCTTGTTCTTTATGACAAACTAAATTCTTGTAAAAAATGAAGACTCCTAACAACGAACGTGATTAGAAAGCCAAAAGAAGCTAAATTTAGCACAATTTATTGCTTTAATAGGAGAAGTCGTTTTCTAAAGACTCCTTTAGGCTCGAATATTCAATCAACTGTATTAATCACTGAGAATTTCTTTCGTCTATAGATATAAGCCAATGAAGATGGTTCGCAGAACTTCCACAAACTTTCCATTCGAGAATAAGTCTTTTGTCTATGAGAGTCCTTTCGAAGTATTATCGTAATAGTGGAATTAAATTAATCCTCAATAATTAACTTCCATTCAGTTATAATATTTTAATGATGGTTATTAAAATATATGTATTTCTAAGTTAATTATCAGAATTTTTTCTCCTTCTTTTTTTTATGCATATATATGTAAACATAAAATAATATGTTAAATTCTCTTCATCTATCCATGAAACTCCTTACAGTCTCATGGATGGATGATTAACAGCTTTTGTTATTTTATTCGTTTTCAATATATATACATGATTGACTATATATGTATGACCACTCTGAAATCAGAAACTAAAAAACATTTTCCAACACAATAAATAAAGCTAAAATAATTCAATTTATTTTAATATTTAATACTGTATTTTGATCTTTCCAGCGGCTTTACGTTATTAGGTTAAGCAAAGCACGGATTTATTAGCTTAATCCATTGAAATAAATATTTACTGCATTCATTTCGCTTTATGCTGTTACTCAAGATAAACCCATGAATTTACCACAATCAAGAGATTTTCTAAGGTACGTGTTCCTTTCTAGAGACAGTAAAAAACCTTTTTCACAGCAATATTACAGGTAGGAAATAAACTACTATTGTTATACATTGCCCTAATGTTTTTATATACGGAACCAATAACCTATTAAAGCTACACCAACTACTATAATACCAGTAGCTCCTATTACCAAAACTAATTAAGCATCATTGGCATCAATAAAGGTATGCCAATTTTTTTACACTCTCTTAATAAAAGTAGTACCATTTTTCTATTAATTTTGCTGTTTAGTTCACTGATTTTTTTACTTCAATTAGGATATTATTGTAAGGAAATTTTTTACAGTCTATTTAAGAGAATAAGTAATTTCCCTCCATTAACAATGCTTTTTAGTTCATACATCATTTTTTATTTTAATTGGAACTTATTACTAAGGTATAATAAACGTCATTGGCTTCAACAATAGTATGGATATTTTTTATGCTTCTCATGTACTACTTGTACCATTTCTCCACCAGTTTTGCTTTTTACTGCATGACTTATTTTTTTATTTCAAGTAATTTATATTACCAAAATTAATCAAAAATCATTAATGTCAATAATAGTATGATGTATTTTTGCGTTTTTTCTTAATGAATTAGTACTATTTCTTCGCTAATTTCTCCTTTCAATACATTAATTATTTATTTGTATTTCAAAAATCGTTGATTTCAAATTATTTAGTTTTACAGAGACACAAGGTTAAAGCATAACTGTAAAAAAAATGATTGTGTGGATTCATTAAAATTTAAAGAATACTAATTTGGTGATGTAGTCTGCTTATGCTACTATATTCACGTTAATCAGTGAGTTTATCTGATATTAACGAACGCGCAAAAAGTCTTTTTCTCTTTTTCTTAGTAAATGAGAGTTATAAGCTAGCAAACATCACTGCTGCAATCATTAAAATATTTCAAAAAAACAGAATCGTTTGGTTTTATTTCTGTCAATGACGGTCTTAACCCCCAAAAAATTCCTTTCTCAAACGTCTCTCAAAAAGGATGTAGCTAAAATTGTTTAACAAGTTTCTTTTAGATCTGCGTCTACAGTCGCTCTTCAAACCACTGTACCATTTTCAGAACGCCAGCGCAAATGGTTCTAAAGCTATTTAAAAATCATGTAAACGACCCAGAGAAGATTTCTAAATATCTTGTTTTCTGCAGGAAACTTGGAATGGTAGTGGCATCAAACAGAAAGGTTGGATCTAGTATATTTTATTCTATTTTAATGTCCGAAATGAGGGGAAAGTAGCTAAACATTAATAGTCGTTAAATGTAGTAAATTACGCCATAATTAGCTAAATTGATTGAAGAAAGCGATTAACACCATTAAAACGATTTTTATTCATATTTCATTCTTATGAAAAATTAATTAACCGATAAATAATAATTACACACAAAAATTATCCGTGTTTATAGGTTTAATTCTAATTAATATTACAAATATTTACTTTCAATGGATTATTCTCAACTGGTCAAATTTTTATAAGTTTCTCTTTTTCCTCAAGGAGTTACATTAAGAGATTTTTTACGTGATTTTAAATTTTAAAACTCTTTTTGAAATCAATACCTAAAACAAACACCTTTTTTTTAAAAAAAAATGTAGCTTTAAATGTTTATTTTCTAATAATTAGCATAAATTATAAAAAAAATCTTTTAAGCTGTTTTTAAAAAAAAAAATTTTTTTTTTAGTTTACTTCTCTTAGAAAAAAAATGCAATTACTTTTGAAAATGAGTTACGAAAATTCAATTTCAGTTTTAAAATGCAAATTACATTTTGAATTATACACATGAAATAGTAGAAGATGGTAACTTAAAATCTGTTGAGGATCTAATTCAGTTATAACATTTGATAAATTTTTATGGTGTTAAGTGAGTGTCCTATCATAATTTAAAGATCCCTTTTTCTGGAACCGCCCCGTATTTTTCACCTAGATCTTTTTCAAACCGTTCTTGTCCACTGCTACCAAAGACAGGGGGATTTAAAATCGTAAATAAAAGATATTCATTTTAAAATTCTTCTTAAGATGAAAGACTTAGTTTAGGAAAGTTTTAGACTTATGTCATACAAACGATGTATTATTATCCGGAAGATTAAAACACTACCGGCGCACTTGCAAAATGAGTATGAATCTGACACTCTCCACAATCTGAATCAAACAATTTTTCTGTCTCTTATGGAGACGAGTAACTATTTGCAGAAGTAAATGGCAACGCAATCTTTTTTGACTCAGCAAAAGAAAGTGAAAGTGACAAACTGAAAATGATTGCGCTTTTACACTTCTCATGCAGCTAAGATGGTAACAAAATACCTCTTTTTTGTAACAAAGCTCCAATAGCGGGATGCTAATTGAGCTGATATAAGAAATGGAGAGTATTTGAAATTTATATTATAATAATATAAATTATAATAATATAAATTATAATAATTTGTGAAATAAGAGA